AGTCCGGGGGGTGGGGAACAGGGGAGCTGCCCTAGAAGAAGCAGAACAATAGCCATTTCCAGGAAAGAGACTGAGGTCACACTGAGCAGGTACAAGTCCCAGGCACTGGCCTCAGGTCCCCTCACACCCGATCCAAGGCCACTACTTCGGCCTCTGAGGCTGCGGAGCCCGGAGCTGGTGACCTTCAGGACTTGGCCCCGGGTGACAGAGCCACAGACAGCAGCGCAGACGGGGCTCTCCCGCGGCAGGAAGGCCCCCACACTGTGGAGAACGCGCCTCTTCCCAGATCACAGGGGGCAACTCAGTGTAGGCAGAAGCACCCGCCCAGCCCACAGGAGATGGTGCCCAGGGCCAAGGGCACCTTGACGGGGAGAGTGTGGGAATTCAGAGCAGGGCAGGCATGGGGGCCTCCCAGGACTATGGGTGTTCACAGAAGCGATCACAGGGCTCCCCTGTGGCCTGTGCTGAAGGAAAGACACGAGCACAGGAAAACGGGGTGTGGGAAGAGGGGACCCTGACCCTCAGGGACAAGCAAAGGCCCCTTAGGGGGAAGTGAGTGAGGTCAGAGGGCGTCTCACTCCATTCCACGGTGACAGGGCTGGTGCTGCTGGGGTGCCGCACTTGGCAGGTATAGAGTTCCCCGCTCCGGGGAACTGTTTCCAGCATCACCAGGGTCTGGAAGGTCCAGTCCCCGTTCTGGATCAGGCCCATGGTCACCACCACGGCCTCCTCTTCCTGGCCATTGCGCAGCCAGTGGACCTCAATGTGGCCCGGATAAAAGTCGCTCACGCAGCAGACCAGGAGGTTATGGTGCTGCAGGCGCTGGGTCTTTGCAGGATACACGGTCACTGTGGGCTCAGCTAGGACAGAGAAGGCCGAGGGAGACGTGAGCAGGACAGGCAGGCCCCTTGGTGGCTCCCTTTCGTCCTCGTCTCCGGTCCCAGGCTCCAGGCCCAGCCAGGCCCATCTCAAAGCCGGCCTTGGCCTCTTAGGAGGTAGTGCCATAAGTCTTGAATCTCTGCCTACAGCCCAGGCCAGTGGATTTGAGAGAGATTGAGGAAATTTGAGGGATCTTTCATGTCTGGAAACAGTTACTCATTGTTGAATGAAGTGTTTACAAATCTCTGCGAGGCACAGAGTGTGTGAGTTCCAGTGTGATTCCTGGGGCAGGGCTGCCTGGTCACATCCAGGCTGTGCCTCTTACTGGCTGATCCTGGGAGACCCTCTCTGCTCAGCTCCTCACCTGCAAAGGGGGTGGTAATTCTAACTCACCCCTTAAGGACATATGAGGACCAATGGGCCTGAAACATGTACAACAGTGGCTGGAACGTAGCCATCACTGTATGTCAGCTGTTTATCACATATGGAGAGAGAATAGAAGGAAAGCCTTGGGGAGAGACTGGGGAACAGCTTGGGGAGATGGGGACTCAGGGTGTGAAGTCTTGGGAATGCGATCACACCTGAGAACACAGAGATGGTCCCCCTGGAAGCAGGAAAGACGGTGATCCCCTAGATCCGGGGCTGAGTCCTGAGGGAGAGGGAGGAGCAGGGCGGCACTCATTATAACACTCATAGTGACACTCACTGAGAAACAGCTCCTTCTCAAAGGACCCGGCCTGTTATTGGGATTGTTGACATTTTATAATTGTCTCTCTTTTCAATTTGACATTTGAGCTCAGAGCAGGGTTTGGAACTCATTAATATGTTTCCTTCCT